CGATGGAGAGTAGAGGCGTCGATACAATGGGCCTTCCAGGTGGTGACTGGAAGGAGAAGCTGGGAAGGGGAAGAATTTGGCGAAAACGACGGGCAGCACCGGCCTATCTTTTAGACGCCAATACGAATGCAAACAGCAATGCGATAAGCGCCACCAAACAGGCGGTGATGATGGCAATGAACGCCCGCGCTACCGGATAATCTCCCTTGGTCAAGGCTCCCTGTATCGAAAAGTACCTCGTCATCCCGACGCCCAGTATCCCAAGAGACAGGATAACGGTCGTGGCTCCCAGCGGGCGAGCATAGCCGTGTGCTGTCCCGCCCGTCGGCGAAAAAGTGGTGACGTTGGAAGTCGTGCTGGACGAGAGGGAGAATAGCTGGACGAGGGCGACGCCGGTAGAGGCGAGGACGAGGGAGGTCCGTACGTATGCGAGAAAAGTCCTCTCTGATGCAAGGTGGTCTCTTGCGACGGAGCCGTTGTTCTCCAGCGTTAGGCTGATACGCATGGTGCTAGGCAAAGAGGAGCAATTCCGAATAATTACCTCCGTTGTCGGCCGTAAGCCTTTTCAGGTCGTGAATTCCGAATCGTTAGTCGTCGTCGTCGTCGTCGCAGCATCGTCGAGGACATTCCAGTCGGCCGTTTCGTCGTCGTCGTCGTCGTAGACGTTGAGGTCGAAGATGGAAATCAAATCAGTGACACAATAGGAAATCCGAGTCGCGGTGCTTCTTCGCCTTTCTCCTTTCGACCACCATCATCGCATGGCACTTTCTCAACAGCTTCTCGCCCTGGATATCGACGACGACGGTCCCCGGTATCGCTCTGGAGATGGATGGTGTGCGTCGCAATAGTATAGGGTACGTTGCTACCTTTTCCCTGACTGCTCGCCGGCTGAGTTTTCGCCTGATAGCTTCAAATTATCCTAAAAAATCGACCAGGAACTGAGCATCGGTGGCATCGCGGCTCTAGAAGCTATCGAATGCGGCACAGTCAATGCGAATAGGTTTACTCGGCTCTTTAGCTGGCAATGGTGTGTTCGAGGGCCGTCGCTGCTCAGATGCACCAGCTCTTACAACCTTCTGCTGTCGACTTCCCTCCAGCACGCATATAACCAGCGTCTGGTACGTATCCAGTTCAATATCCCTTTTCCAATGATGTTCAACACAAAACCTGATTTAATGAGCCCGACCCAGCTTGCTGGGCTTGACGATTTTTTGTTTTTTTTCTGATCCTCTTCTACCTGTTCGGTAATACAGTTGCTCATTGTTTAATTTTTCGCAGGTCTCGCGTACATTGTCTATATGAGCAACCAATGCACCATTTTTTTTTGCCAATTCGAGAGACCGCGACACATCTTCAAGTTTCAAGTTTCGTGCTTATCTTTCAACCGCGGTCCTTGCCGGCGATAATGAAAGAACCTTGGTGGGTCGATTTATTGACTCATCCTTCTCGTTACTCGTTTTACGTTCTGAGTTAGCAACAAGCGCCCTCGAGTAACTCTCAGACGATACCGACAATTCTATTTCGGCGCAGTGCTTGGCAACAGCCGTTGTGATTTACTTTCTGTATAGTATGTAGCACACGCAGAAGCATCGACCAGGCTATCTTTTCCTGGTGCATATCCAACTTTCTTTTTTCCTCAGAAGTTTTCATTGAATGGGGGTTTGAACAATATTTTCGTGTTAATTTTCATGAGACTTCCTCTTCGAGGTTTGTAATGATAGTATCACTTACCTTATCATTCTCACAGGTGAACTCATCTACCACGTGCACAATGTCCTCGCCTCATTACTGCACGGTCAGTGCTTTACGAAGCTTCGGTGCGGATAATTTTAGGAAGGAAAATAAGCGCCATGCATCGTGGTGGTCACACGGGATATAAGGACGTTAAGCACGCCTCAGCTCTTTCCATCCCAACGACCACCAGATGTCGTTCCTTTCGAGACGTACCACTCGTAGGGCCAACACCAACGCTACAAATGGCACCTCAAACAATGTTCCTGATATTCCCCCAACAGACTCTCCGCCCTCTGAGCCAGAGCAAGAGAGCACAGCCGTCCCCATCAACCAGACAGAATACGCTCGGAGATGTCGACAGGTTATGGAATTGTATCGTGCTCTTCAGGCCCTAGGGTTCGTGGACGCTACCTCTTTCAGACGTATACTTACATGCCCATCTGTCACAGCGCCGATAGGCTGTTTCCAACGCTGCCAAAGATCATAGTTATCGGCGGTCAATCTAGTACGTCGTTTCTTGAATATCGGTATGCCGGCCATATTGATTTATGTCTGTGATCAGCTGGAAAGAGTTCGCTGGTGGAAGCGGTATCTGGGGTACGCTTACGTCTTTCACTTGTCTGTTCCGTTCTCTCACTGTCATCTAGATCAATGTACCGAGGGACAGCGGTACTTGTACCAGGTAAATGCACCTCAATCATTCTCTGCACGATCTCACTCCTCTTCAAGGTGTCCGATGGAATGCACGATGCTTAGTTCATCCTCCACGTGGTCGTGCACGATCTACCTCAACATCAAGTATGGGTCAGATGGTAGCGAACTCGCCATCCCGGACAAGACTCGGTTCGGACCTGTTATCACAGACAAGGATACGGTCGAAGTATGGATCCGCCGAGCTCAAGCGGCGATCCTTTGTCGACATCGTGCGAAGGAGGATTTTACCAGCATGGGCACGGAGGAGCTTCGCAGTCTTGCTGTGACCGACTCACAGATGCTACCTTTCTCCAAGAATATCGTCCAAGTCGAGCTGGGAGATCCCCAGTTGACAGATCTGTCTTTTGTTGATCTACCCGGTAAGGCGCTTGTATCTTTGTCTTCGTGTCCTAACGGTTACTTTGGCAGGCGTTATCCACAATGCAGACGAAGAGGTTATCAAACTTATCAACGACTTGGTTATATCTTATATCGAAGAGTCAGAGAATACGATTGTCCTTATCACCATTCCGATGAGCGGTGCGTTTTCTTCCTCTGACACTATGTATGCTCTCCTCATATCTCTATAAGACGATATCGAAATGCAAGCCGCTGTTAAACTCGCGAAGTCCCGGGATCCCGATGGTGATCGCACAATTGGTCTGAACCTTCCTTTCTGCTACTTTCATCACCAATCCTAATCGTTCCGTACAGGAGTGTTGACCAAGCCAGATATGCTCACAGTAGGCGCCTCTGGCGCGCGTCAAAAGTGGAGAGAGATCATTCTCGGGCAAGATGAGAAGCACAAACTCAAACATGGTTACTATTGCGTTCGTCTCCCGGACGATGATGAGCGCAGGCGCAAGATTTCGCGCGACGAATCCCAGGCATTAGCGAAAGTCTATTTCGAGAAGAATTCTCCTTGGAAAGAGTTTGTCGACCGCAGTCGTTTCGGCATACCAGCACTCGTCCATGATATCAGTCGACTTCTAGTCAAGCTTATCGAGAACTAGTGTGTGTTCTATTCTTTGCGTGTGCACAGGCTTACTATCGTTTCCGTTGAAGTATCCCGACCTTGAAGAAAAGCGTTGACGATATCCTCGCGAGCGATAGAGCAGAGTTGGATGCGCTCCCTAAACTGCCACCAACTGGCGAGGCATGGGCTCAAATTACCCTCCTGATTCATAAGTTCTGCGTTGACGTCCAAGCCGCTGTCGAGGGGAAGGAAGAACACAAAGGTCTCGTACAGCGCAACCGTGCTAGGTATACACAGTTCAGGCACGAAATCATCAGGACGTGCCCCAATTTCCGACCATTTGAGGACAAGACCCAGTACGTGGATCCTTGCATCCGAGACGAAGATTTCAAAGGAAAGGACAACCCCTACGTTTATATGGCTGCGTCCGACTATGTCATGGATATCAAGGACGTGAGAAAGGAAATTGTGAAGTAAGTCTGCTTCCTGCTCCGGGTTCATCGTACTGAACTTGCCGCGTAGCTGTACATCGTGGGAGCTCCCTGGTGAAGTCCCGCTGGAAACGACGCGTAGACTCATTGAGCGTTTCACAAAGCAGTGGTCCAATCCTTCAAAGGAGTGTTTCGAGGCTGTGTACGACACCTCGTCTGCTTACATACAGACGTTGGTTGCGCAGCGCTTCGGACAGTTCAAGCCTCTAGAGACGCACGTTAGGTTTGCCGTCCGTGTCTTCCACTACTTGATTTAAAGTCTTACGCTTGTTCAGTGCGCTTGTGCGTACGCAGATGGAGAATTGCAAAAGCGAGGCCCTTGTCATACTTGGCAAGGCTGTCAAATTGGAGACGTCTCCCGTATTCACTCAAGTACCGCATTACTCAATGGAGCGCTCCAAATGGTTCAGGAGGTTTCATAAGGTTAATACATACCCTAGTGACTATGTCAAACGCAGTCCAAGCCCTGCCTACAGTGATGGAACTTACAGCATAGCTTCATCCCGGGCTGGACCATCCCGGGCTCTATCTCCGCTTCCTCCTGCTCCCGAGATGACAGAAGACGAAGACGCCCTGCTCGTGATGGCCAAGGTTCGAGCGTACTTTGAGTTAGCATACAAGGTCCATTGTGCTTTTCTCTACCTGGTCTTTCCTTCGCTGACTCTCAGCGGTATATAGCGGTTCATTGACAATGTTCCGCTCACCATCGAGCATGAGCTGCATCAGACCCTGCCACTTCGCTTATCGGAGAGTCTTATTCAGGACATGGGAAGACCAGATGGCAGTCAGAGGGCTAGGGAAATGCTTCGAGAGGATCCGGCGATCGCATCCAGGAGGGAAATCTTGAAAGACAGAATTGCGAGGTTGGAGGAGATCAAGAAGAAACTCTATGAATTTAGATGATCGTAGATATGCGCTTGAAGTGTAATTCCATCTGTTTTGATATGTACTTTGAATGTCTCACCCGTGGAACTACGGTCCAGAGGGATTACGTCAGGAGTGAACACTTGATTAGGATCCCTGTCCTCTCTTCCAAACTTGAAAATACTCATAAATGAATCTTATCGCAGTTGGGAATATTATAGGCGGAAAATACATGCAAAAAATGCCTCCATCCAGGGTTGAACTAGAGACCTTCGCATAACTATCTCGACTGAGAGATACAAGTGCGACGCGCTACCACTACGCCATAGAGGCTACAGACTCTATTGTTTAGATACATCTTGGACTGTTTACAATAATCCGTTGATTAACCCTTAGTTGATCGATTTGCTCTCTTTTGAATTCTCATTACTTACTTTCTTCCAGCAAACGAACTGCGATCCAAGATACCAGGAATCCAGACACACTATATTATCGTGACTTTTTGAACAATCTATGATATGGGTGAATTTTATAACGATGCTCATCAAAGTAAGCTGGAACGCAATGAGTTTTCGCCCAATCTTCGCCACGAAGACTAAATATTTGTTAGCCCTATACCAGTGAGTCCTTCAGCATTGATTAGAACTTGTATCGCAAAAACCCTTACTTGTGTTCTCGCTGCCAGCACAAAAGCAAACAGCATCGCAACGAGCGTTGCTATACATCCAGTTATGATGACGGCCACCGTACGCGCAACCGGGAATTTCCCTTCCGTCAAAGCTCCTTGAACGGAGAAATACCTCGACACCCCTACGGCAAGTATCCCCAAAGCCAAGAGAACCGTAGTGGCTCCAAGGGGTTTAGCGTATCCCTGAGTGCTAGCGCTAGTAGCCGAAAACGACGCGCTCTGCACTGCGATGGAGAACAGTTGGACGAGAGCGACGCCAGTAGAGGCGAGGACAAGAGAGGTTCTCACATATGCAAGAAATGTCCTCTCAGAGGCTAGGTGATCCCTTGCGACGGAGCCGTTGTTCTCCAATGTCAGGCTGACATGCATCGTAGAGTATTACGTCCTCCTCCACCGCTTCCTGGGCGCTTTATAGGGTTGTCTATTCCAAATCATGTACCTTATATATCCCGTCGTGGGATAGCGAGTTTAAAGTCGACCCGCAATAGGTACCGCGATTGAGGTGGCGTGGCGACAGGCTCTACGAATACTGCGCCGAGCCAACGTAGTCCTACACTTCGAAGTTGTGTAGGTGACTGTTCGCTTGGTTATCCAGAAGGAAGCCAGTATATGTGCTCATACACGTAGATTCATGGATTTGAGGCCAGACCCGCGGCTTATTTACGTTCATTACAGGGAATTCTGTTCGGACCAAAGGCCATGTGCCATTATCGCCGGCCCTGTATCCTGAGTGACTAAAACCACTGAATGATTTGGCTATAAAGTCCTACTGACTCTTTCAATCATCGCCATACAACGGCCGCAACCTTCTTATGTATTGGTTGAGGCCCTTAGTATATGGAATGGCTTATTGGTATGTCAAGCGCATCCATATCATGCTATCCTGTATTGACATGTGGATAAGGTGACTTTCAACCCCAAATCTTCACCCTTCATCAAGGCGATTTGTGCATTGCACATCAATATCGGAGCTATTATTGTCCTTAAGTTGGATATAGGGATTGTCTTTTCTCTCCCTTTCATACGGGTTTCTGAACACCGAAATGCTGATTGGCACAGATAACATAATCTGAACGGATGGAGTGACACACTTTCGGCAGCAATTAATTGGTCCCTCTTTACCGGTGATAACAGACCCATGTCTCTCAAGTCGGAGCGAGACTAAGGCACACTTGCAATTGACAGTGAATGAATACGATATCTGCCAAGGACACTGACATTAATACTGCCATCGTCGTTCGTTGGCTCCGAAGATCCTGTGACGATCCTTTTCTTCAGCTCAGATGCCAGGGGGAGCTTGCCAAACTTGGGGCTGGAACAAAGGCGAGGGATTGAGAGAGGGTATAGTGAAGGATTCACATGAAGATGAACTTGAAGGTGTTGCGGTCTGTGGCAAGGTCGGAAAGGATGGCGGAATTTGGGCTGGGCACACGGGTGAGGGTGAATGACTCGGATGGTGCGGGGGAAGGGTGCTAAGGCATGATTCCGAGCGGCATCTGTCATCCTTCGTTGCGCGAATGGACAGGCTTTGGTGGAATGTGGGAATACACGGTGCGATGGAGGTGATTGTCGTGAGCCGATATATCAAGAGCCCTGACAGTGTTTGGATGAAGTTGTAAAGGGATGAAGGGAGGGGCAGCTGAGCTCGGGAGAGGCGGGCGGGGAAGAATGAGGCTCGCAAGAGACGGAAGGGCCTCCGGGGAGCTGCACAGTTCAGCGGGGTATCGAACTGAAGTAGTTAAGCGATCAAGGATCGGTGGTAACGGCGGGTGTAAAAAAGGCTTGGAAGGCAGGTAGTACCTTAACAAAGAGGAGTGCGATGCGGCCAGGACATCGTGCCTTGGCTCTGGTGCCGTTTCAATGGAGGGGCTAGGAGAGCCGGGTTGAGAGATTTGCGAAAGGGCTGGCGACGATGGAGACAGTGGCGTCAAGTCTACTGGCTGGATTTTATGCTTAGATCTTGACCACCTCTTATCAGTCGAGCTCTGCCCATGCTTCCTAATTTTGTGCCTAGTCATATTGGCTGGGTCCCCGGTTTGGTATGCAGGTTCGCATTCGTGGCAGACGAGATTCTGGACACGGAGACTAAGATATAGTACTGGTGTCAGCGTAATGGTCAATTAGACGACGGAGAGGACTTGCTGTACGACGTTGATGTGGACTCTTAGGTTACTCCGTTGTAGAGTCCTGAAATTGCAGCCGTTCAGGTGACAGTGATACATTCTAGGTGAACATGCCCTCAGATATATGGCGGATGCCGAGGAATAAGCAACTTACTCTTTGTCGCGCGCCGCACCAATCAAATGAGTCTTGCAATGTCGAAGCAAGCCCCCTTTTGAAATGTATGTCTTCTTGCACGTCTCGCAAAGAAATTTTCGCGGTTTGGTTGATAGGCGCTGTAAAGAGATGAAAATGTGAGTTACTAAACAAAGAATACCGACAAAGCATAGATTAATCCACTCACTGCCATGATTTTTGTCGGGAAGGGAAGAACAAGTAAGTGCCACTGAGACAGGTATGCTGAAAGGTCCAAGTTATACCAGTGAGCGACAGCTTTGTGAAGCAGACAAGTCCTCGAAATGACTCACCAATGTCTTCCAAATTCATGAGCTCCGTTGAATCTCCGAAGGGGAAGCTCTTTTGTTAGGTTGTAAATTGATATTGGCAATGAGGCATACTTACATTGTTTGAACGTAACTTTTGCTCGGCAAATCAAGACGAACAAAGCAAGAGGGACATATGGTTCTCTTTCTTGCTTCATATAAGCGAACGCCCCATCAGCCGAATTCCTTCTGGAGAGAAAAATTAGGAAGGGAGCATAGAACAACATAAGCCACCTTCGGGAACGAGGCAACCCGTGCGATAACTCGACTGTTTCAGGCTTATCCTTCAGAATGGCGGTTCTTTGACTTGAGGACTGCTGCAAGAGATGTGAAGACAGTGCCCGTCATCCGGGTTTAGACGACTCGGCGCCATCGAGTCACTACTGAATAGGTACGGGTCATCAAGGACATTCAAGACACAGGCTGCAAATATCAGAGTATTTGAAAAAAATCATACTTACAGCCAATGCAGAGGACAAAGAACTTCTGGGTGCGGTCAAACATTAAAGCGAAGACATTGTTGTAATCACAGATGGCTGGACTTCTGAAGGACTTAGAGAGTATGTAGATGCCACTAGTAGAGACAATGAATCAGACGATCGCAGGGTCGTGGAAGTGATGCCACTGTAGCACCGGATTGTTCCGTGACCGGTCGGAGTTTTCGGACCCATATCCGAATCGACTTGACAACCACTGTGACGGTCCTTCGTGCTGCCCTCTCTTTTCCCTCCGATAACGCGTATTCCAGGAGTCTATTTCACCAAAATATAAGTAAGCTTAAGGTCTCACTTGCTTTGTCCATTATCAAACTGTCCTTGTGCGCTGGTCCACTACAGCCAACCTTTTCTTCGCCTGCTGGAGATATGGATTGCTACAATAAATTTCGAATGGTTTGCAGTCCACAACAGCCGTATTTACCGCCAATGAAAGATCATCGATATTTACTGCCTTCGAATCGGATGGACTCAACACAAAAGACGGCATTTCCTGCTACGACAGCTTCTTTTCTCGCACTGACTTAGCTCATCAAAAGAGCAAACCTTTGTCTGTGCTATGAGAGAAAGATACCGAAATGGACCAGCTTCTTCTATCGGTGATAGATATTGTTACTCGGAAAGTTCCGTCTAAGATTTCGCTATTAGGAACAATGGTACTTTCTTTGTAGTGTGTTTTAGGAAGGATGAATACAGGCATCTATTTTCCCGGTACACCTTAGTGGGCACACCTTGCTCTAGCCTTCTTCTGCATATTTCAACACGACCGTTTCCAACTCGTGTTTTTCTCTGGTGCCTTATTGTTCAAGCCGTTTCGACTATGGGACCTGTCACGCGCCATATTGTTTCGCCGTTTCTTTGAAACTACCAAGTAGCACATCGAACAGTTCTCTTGGGGCACTACCTCCGTATGTTCATCTTTCCGTACCATTTCCCAGCGAGATAATTACTTCTCCAGTCTGACCTGTGTATATAGATGGCACCAACGGGCACTTGGAACGACAAAGAATTCTCGTCGGAACCAGGAAGCTTAGCAACGCGCGAGTCTCTTTTAGTTTTATACAAGGTCTCTTCTAGCTGGATGATGTACCTCTACCGTCTAAAGGAAAACAACAAGAATAACACAGTGGACTGTAACGATAACAAGTAGGTATGGTTAACAATAAATAAGAAAAAGCAGTACTGACGGGAGAGATAGCGACAACAATGAGAAAGTCGAGTAAACCACAAGTCCTACGAAATGTTAATGTCTGTATTGGGTGCCGCTGATTTTTTTGGGAGCAGATAGGCAACCAGAATAGATAGAGTACACTAACGCCGTTGGGTGGAGGGGACGAGCTCCCACTCGTTGTCAACTCGGATTAGGGAGAGCCATTAGTCGGCGGTGAAGGAAGTCCATGACACTGAGTGAGCTCGATGCCACAGGTGTCATGGAGAAAGTCGCGGAGTGTTGGAATCGTCCTGGAATGTATTCTGGAGTAAGGCGTTCGCGCATTGTGAGGGCGGCAAGGGGGGGATAATAGGCCTGAGGTTCGGGCACTGTGCTGG